GCCAACGTTACGCATTTTTTCATTTGAATATGTTTTCCAATTAGTGATGTTTTAATATATGTGTTTTCCTTTCATGGTCTCGGGTAAGACTTGTGATTCATTCTTATTTAAGATATTTATACTTGTGATTTCACTGCAATCATGCAATTATTTTTTTGTATGTTGTATTTAAATTTTTAATTGTAATTTTAAATCTTTCTCTGTTTTTGCATTGTTATTTCATATTTCAGTTTTTACGAAGAAAGAAACATTTTTACTGTTAAAACTACTTGATTAGAGACCATCTGATGATGTGACTACATTGTGTCGCGTGTCGTTTAGTAAATTGATGCCAGTAAAGTCACTATGTTTTAAAATAGTATTTGTTTTGTTGATATTAATATTAGGGGACACCATTGCCATAGTAAAACCAAACATTTCAGACATAACAAAGCTCTCAATTCGATGAGTGTCTCTATCTTCTTTCATTTCCAGACCTCGAGGAGTCGTTGTGTTTAATGTATTATTTACAATAGGGACTGTATAATTCTAAACAACCTATTACAAGAATTGTATCTCAGCTTCTGGGTGAAATGACTCCTATTTCGATCAGGTTTTTTGTCCAGTTTCCCTGATCCTTTGCTCAAATGCTGAGAAGGGCCCTTGTTTTGCTTTTGGACATAAATGTAGCTTCATTATCTGGTGCACGTTTTCTAGAGTACAGTGGGAATATAGTTATGGAAATTATCTCTCTCCATGTTCTTGAGGTAGAAGTACATTCCTTCACAAAGGACATGACGAAGGATAAAAACCCTAATCTATAGCTGATTTGCATTTGAAAATATATTGTATTACTCCGGAGCGAATATTTTGTAAACAATTCTTGCCCAAAACGCCCATTTCTTTTTGTAGTCAAATTGAACTTGTTTATAGATTGAATTGAATTGAATTAATGCCTTATTTTACGTGGCGAGACTCAGGCCATTAGGCCTGCTCTTCCGTCTGACCACGCAAATTTCGCTACACTCTTTTCACCAACTAGCAGAGGAAGGAGGTATTTCTTGGGCGAGAAACAGGCGATTTGAATTTGGCTCAGAGGCGTCATTTAGGCTTGAGGATCTTTTACATGCGAGTAAATCTACTGACATGGGACAGCCGGCTTTACTTCCCCTCCGAAGGGAGGCGTACGAAGGATTTTTTCGCCCTTAAAAATCCACGATATGGTTTGAACCCGCGAACTTGGGTACAACAGTCCAGTACGCTAACCGTTACACCATCGCCGCCGCCAGGGTAGATTAGGGTAGGTATCTCAGAATTAAGGAAACACGCACAGAATACACTTCTGTTTTTGTCGAAAAATAAAATTTAATCGACACTAAATGTAAAATTATAGACTACGCCACAGCTCTGGTTCATACCTGTGGAGCAGCAACGAAACAATTTCTGGGGCGCCTCTCCTGGCGGCCATATGCAACGCAGTGTTGCCTTCTGCTTCCAAGGTCACGTCGGCGCCGTTCTTTAGCAAGAGGACGACGATATCCACGGTACTGTTCCACGCGGCGTAGTGCAGGGCTGCCAACCCGAGGGCGTCCTTTTTGTTGACGTCTTCGTTTCCCCGCAGAATGCGAGCGACTTGGCGTGTTTTACCACACTGCGCATACCAGTGCAAGTCAGACTTGCCGCGACCTTTAGAGAGTGTCATTCTCTCGAAGCATGACACCAAGTGTTTATGAAAGATTTGAATGAAGTCTGTTTGTGTTTCAGCATTCTTGTTGCATTTCGGTATGTCTTCTTTCTGTTCATTTACCTCTTGCCGCAAACTGATTTCTTCAAGTGCCTTGCCACATTCGACCGGTTCTTCAGTTTCTTTGGCCGGCAAATTATTTTTTTCACTAGCGATATCGTGTTCTAAAGCCTCGTCATTTACTTTGCTATCTTTTGCGCATTTTCCCTTGTAGTTATTCCGATCATCAAGTGGAACTGTTGAACATTTTTTATTTTTTCTTCTCTTCATTCTTGTTTAATTTCTGACCGCGTCTGAAACAAAATAATCATTTATTTTTATTTTTTAATAAATGCTTTTATAAGTCATATTCAACTTTTCTTAGAAGCAAGTGTACAACAGTTAGTCAAAGTTAAAAAAGATAAATGCTTAATCAATATGTTTCCAATTAAAAGTTACATACTGTGTTAAATATATTTAAAACAAAAAATTGCGGTGAATAAGAACAGAAAGAACATAATTTTGCAAATTCCAGTTTCACGCGCTCCATTTGATAGTCTCCAGGATTCATATTGTAACAAGCCACGCCTAGACACGGCTGTTTGAAATTCTGGAATTTTTTTCTCGTTGTTGGGAGATGTTATAGCTGCGTAAGATGGAGTTTTGTCTAGTTTGTGTTGATATATTTGCTTCAAGAGAATTAATTTTGACTCCTAATGTTGCACAATTTGTAATGCGTTTTACAAGTGTTGACTGAGATGTGTTAATATGGCCAGAAATTGTGGTATTATCATATTACATAATTATCACTTAATACACCGGTAAAACTGACTCAGTGCATCAACTGATATCACTGTAGGGCTTCTGACTGGTGTTCCGACGGTGGGAGGATCGACACTAGCTAGGCAGCTGGGTTAAATTCAGCCGTTCCGTGTAGAAGTCTCGTGCCGGGCTGCTCTGATCGGTAGTTTTTCGGGGTTTATCCGATCGACATCAGGCGGAGTCCGAATCAGTTCCTTAACAAACGGGTAACGGACGTGTTCAATTTTTCCTTCCTTTTTCTCCACGTCTCATCCTTATCCCTTACATTCACTTACGCTTACATGCACTATACTCGTCACCATCCTACGGGGAAACATAACAGCCATCTCCCGCGATAAAACATGCACTACACTTACGGGACTAATGACCATAGCCGTGAACATGCCCGAAATCACAAATCAATCACTAACCGGAAATTAAATTTTTGCGATTACAGCTCCACCTATCACAAATCAGAAAAAAGATTCAGACAAAACTTATGTATTTTTGTCCGTAGAATCCGAATATAAAATAAAAAAGTTGTCAAGTTAAATGGGACAATATTAAATGTCAAGTTAAATGGGTTATTAATATATAATATATATATAGAATAGTATATATATATATATATATAATATATTTGTGACGTACCTGGGAAGCGGTTCTCTCACGACAAATAAATTTTACAAATGACAGTACATTTTCGTGAATGGCTTCCAGCGTTTGGGCGCTGCATTGGAAGATGATCATTAAGAAATTCTTTTGTGCATTTAAATATTTTCAATAATAGAAACACTCTTACAAAGATTATAAAAGATTACTTACAAAACGCAATGCGCAAGGCCTTTGATAATAATGCACAATCAACGCACCTTGATGCTTTCAAGAACCACCTGGCTGGGTTGGAGACGAGCGGGCCGCCGTGGCAACGGCGGACGGCGTCTTCGGCAAACCTTCGGTCCGCCCCGAAAGTCCCGTCCGGGAAATCGCTCTCCCCGGCGATTTCAACCTCCACTGGCCCCCAACGCAATGGCCGATCGATTCGCGAGTCCACCCCCCCAGCGGACAAAATGTCTCACAGGCACCAACACGAAAGACGCGCGATGAGCGCCCGTCGCAAGTTCCAGTCTCAGCAATCCCTCTCAATCTCGCGCGAATGCTGCCACATACGGCCCGCTACTGCCATACACCCGGCAGAAATATAAACACGTGTCCGTCGGCCGCACCAATTCCGTATTAATGTTTTTGATTCGGTCTGGGCGCCCTTCCACTTTCACTAATCATCTGATTAATTAACTTTCATCAAATCTAGTCTTTCACTTAACATCCACATTCAATCCAAACTGTTCTTAACACCACCATAAATGTGTTGATGCGCACTGCCCCGTCCGTGTTTCACTCACGCCTCTCGCGCACCACTCTCCCAATCGTCGCTCGCCTCGCCGATCTTACCCCCGATGACCGTGGTGGCAAAGCGGCGCGGCGGCGGCGTTACTTCCTCTGATCAATTCAGTACTTATTTTTAATTATATTATTGATCAACTTTGATTTATTACAATTACAGAATACGTTCTATCGTTTAATATATATTTATATACATATATATGTATATATATCATATATATGTATATATATGTGTATATATGATGTATATGTATATATATGTATATATATGTATGTATATGTATATATATGTATGTATATGTATATATATGTATATGTATATATATGTATATATATATATATATATATATATATATAACGTATAAGCGTAACGAAAACAATTCTTCACCTTTTTAAACCCGTATAAACCGTTTTATTCTATTTTTTAAACATGCGATTTGGTTTCTTAGGTGCATCACTCTTATAAATCGCTTTATACTACAGCTGAGGGCTTTACAACGATGGAACTCGTCTGTTACAGTAGTGAAGATAATATACAGCAGATAAATCAAGAGAATTTTGGTGTGATAATATATTTGAAAGTGAAGTTAAAGATCTTTTAGTTGACTTCAAGGAGTCACTTTTTTTTGCTCTCTGCGCCATAGCTGATTGATCACGTGCACGCAGTTTGGACGTTTGCAACGTCTTGCCAAATCTAGAGCAGTGGACTCAGAGTTGGTTCGTATAGTCGCGCACGCGCCACCCCCCATCAACGCGACGACGCATTCTGTTTTCCCGCACCCTGCGGCCAAACGCAGAGTGGTTTGCTCCATTTGCCTTTAACATTCACATCGGAACCAGCCTCCAGAAACGCAACGACACATTTTCTCTTCCGTTTGGAGCGGCTACATGAAGGGGAGTTTGGACCCTCGAGTCCATCACATTCACTAGGGCCCCAGCCTCCAGCATCGCCTCAATACGTTCTCTCTTCCCGTTGTGTGCGGCACAATGCAGAAGAGTCTGCCCCCATTGGTATTTAACATTCACTTCGGAACCAGCCTCCAGAAGCTCATCGATGCCTTCATTTTTTCCGTTCTCTGCGGCATAATACAGAGCAGTTATTTTCCATTTGTCCTTAACATTCACCAGGGTGTCGGACTCGATCAACAAATCCATGTATTCTGTCTTGGCCTTTTTTTTAGCTAACTGCAGAGGAGTATAGCTCTATTGGTATTGAATATTCAATTGCACTCCGGCCTCCAGCAGCGTGCGCACGTTCAAGGTGTGTCCTTCAGAAGCTGCGTTGTGCAATGAGGTCCTTCCATTCACCTCCGTAGCATTGGCGTTGACGCCCAGTTGCAACAGCGCTTGAAGGGTTTCCTGGCGTCCGTCCGCCGCTGAAGCAACTAACGCCTCCATCTCTGCTTCCCCCAGCACCACGTCACGAGCCGCGTCAGCCAAGACCCACACCACCTCTGCGCTAGCAGCCACTCGCAGGGAGCGTCCTATCTCGTCCCTCTCGGATAGTTGGACCGCTTTCAGCAAATATTAAAGGATACCCTCGAGGCCGCCTCTGGAGGCAACAAACAATGGCGACTCGTGTTTGCTGTTTTTTTTGTTGGGGAAGCTCCTTTCTTCAATAGAAATGGTACTACACCCTTTTCTTATTTTTCACTGCCACCAATAAGGGGGAGTTTCCATTATCATCCGTGGCCTCCACTGACGCGCCCTGCTCCAAGAGCGACTGCAGCGCGGCCCCATGGCCTCCTCGGGCGGCGACGGCGGTGGCGCCCCGGGCGTCTTAGTAGATGCACGGTTGAGTGTTGATGTTGTTGTTGTTGTTGTTGTTGTTCTTGTTGTTGGCGAGAGTCCGGTGGCAGTGACAGAAGAGGTCTGTTTAGGAGGGAGGTGTCTGTTGAGTGATGAAGCGGGTGTTAATAGAAAAGAAACATAGAAAGGCGTGGCAGATGAGACCTTTGAAGGAGGAAGTTGTACGTCAAGTGATGAAGTGGGGGAGAGAGCGGAACATAAGATATGAATATTAAAAGGTGTGTGCGCGGGAGGAATTTGGTTTTTTGAATTCTGAGCGACGTAAAGGCGCTCTTGGGTTAGATGCGAGTCGCAACTCCAACTTGGAAATTAAAATGCACAAATTTTGCTCCAGCGTTTCTTCCAATTCAGTGTCTTATCTCACCACTCCCCGTTCGAGAATCTCTTCCATTTTGGTTAATTACTTCTCCATTTTGATATATCGTTTCCCCATTTTGTTGAGTTGCATCTCTAGGATCGTGATCCGGCCCCCCAGCTGGCACTTTTGAGATGCTGTCGCCTTCATGGGTACTTTTCATATTCACTTTGTAACTGTTTTATTTTAAAAGGTTTTCGTCCTGTCACGACTCAGTAACATGATCACAAATTGGATTTCTTTCCTGTCTCGGATCATATTTCCGAGCGTCATTGCGTCTAAAAAAGATAATATGGCGATGACAATTGTATATAATATCACAATGGGCATTATATCAGGCCTGTGAACCTATTAAAAGAATTGGTTGTCTCGATAGCTTGGTGATTAGAACAACTGGACGTAAACCACGAGAGTAGGGTTCGAATACTCGTCGACGTGACAAGGAACAATTTTAATCCTCTAAATATTTTGTCACGAAACATTTTGGAAAATGTTTGCAATGTTAACAAAAATATGCATTTTTTGTGTCTTTGTGCTCTTAAGACTAGGCAGGTGGAGAGTCAAGAAAAGGGTTATTATAGCAAGAATGTGGAATAAGTAATGTTTTTGACATCCATTGAAAATCAAGTTTCAAGAGTAAATTTTTGTAAATAAAGTCCTTCAAGTGTGGCAAATTGAAAGAATAATTTAGTGTATTTGCCTTTGTAGTTTACATCTTACATAAATATTTTATTTCTAGTCCATTATTTGGAATCGCTTGTAGCTGGAATAAATTTTTTGTGGTAGTTTTGGTTGCAAAAAAAAAATATTGAAATCCGTCTCATACATACGTCAGTACTTACATTTCTTAAAGAGAAATCGCTAAAGGTTTGTTTTAGTTAGTATATTTGAGAAATGTATGTGAAAAACGCTAGCGGTTCATTATGAATAATTTATGAAACTATATTTTGTGTTCATCATTTAAAACCATACGTAGTTAAAAGTTTGTGATCAGTGAAGATATTTTCCTGTTTTGGTCGTACGTGTACCTCGCAAAATATCAAAGTTTATGAACTATTACGCCGCGATGTTGAAAAAAATAATTATAGTAGGTACTTGTCATGAAGCCTTTAGAAAATTTTCAATTTTTTTCAAAAATGGCTCCGAAGTTCTTCAAATTTCTCATAAAAATAATGTGAAATACTGCGACACAAGGCGTAAGCCATAATTTTAACTGTCACGTACAAATTTGCCGAAAGTGGCCGAAATTTGAAATTTGTTCAACCGCCCCTGCGCCTACATTATTAAAGATTAAGATTTTTGAAATTGAAATTTGTTACCAGTAATTGAGGCGTTGCGTCGGAGATAGCCTTTCTCCAAAATTTGAAATATTGCCCTACGTTAGTAGTTAGTAACCAGAAGTCTTTAATGAGACATTGCTCGCTACTGCTTACGTAGTATAGAGAAAGTATTGAAATGCTGCAGAATAAAACGGCGAATTTTAATATAAAAACTCTTATTCATTGGCCTTTGTAACGAAGAATTTTTAAAAACATTTATTGTCTTTAATTGACGCAACGCGTCTCCAAGCCCCGCGGGGCGTCGAGCGATTTGCGCTTCCGGAGTAATCCTCCGTTAATTCATAAATGTCATGTCATATTCGTCACGTCTCGTCGCAGTCAGTTTTCAAGAGGAGCATTTCAGGAGTAGCATCTCCGCGTACGTGCCTCCTACTACGCGCCGCTGCGTCACTACTCAGCGGCCAGAATTGGGTAGGATTCAGGATAGGAATAGGGAATTAGGTTAGGTTGTCGGGTAGGGTTTAGGGCACTTCACAGGGATTGGTCTAGCCCCTGCAACTCGTTTTGTCAAAAAATCGTATCCCTATATATATATATATATATATATCCCACCCCACACACAGAGGGAGGGAATACTTAAAGAAAACAGCCGACGAACAATCAATCACGCGGTTTCGTGCGTTCTCGTAACCGTGAGACATTGTTCAACCGGCTGGGTGGACCCGGTGAATTCCATCGGCCGTTACGTTGGGGGCAGGAAAGGAATGGTCGCCGAGGAGGGCGAATTCCCGCGGAACTTCGGGCTGAACGAAAGATTGCCGATAGGACACCACCGCGTATGCCCGACGCCCCGTCGCCTCCAGAGGAACAGGTGGTTTTTTAAAAACTCAAGGTAGCGTTTGACCGTGTTGCGCTTGTTTTCCAAGGCTTGCGCATTAGCGATCTTGTAAATACTATTTGTAAAGTGTGTTCTCTGATCATTAAAATCATTTAGATGTGGCAAAAGAATCTATAACGATTATGCTTCCTATGCTGCGCCAAATTCCTGGAGACCCATTCACGAAAATGTACTGTCTCCTTGGCCATAATTTATTTTCGTGAAGTACCGCTTCCCAGGGTACGTCCACAATATATATGTAAATTATGTTTTCTAACCCATTGTCTAGTCAGATCTATGTTTTTGCGGGTCCTTGATATCGTTAAAAATTATATTTGAAGCAAATGTCGACCGTTCCGTCTGGTGGTAACGGCTAGCGCATGAAAATTCAGCCATATCTCCAAAAGTGATATTCTGGCATATACTTCTGTAGTTCTCGGCCTGCCCTGTTGAATTTGAAGCTGAGATTTTGTTTCGGTAGTGAAGTGTTATACATAATACGGTCCTTATCCTGTGCAGTTACTATTTTAAAAGAATTTGGTATTTATGTAATTCAACATTTTTTATAAGATAAGTCTTCTTGTTGATCGATAGCTGTAACGTAGCACGGTGGATTTTAGAGAATGGTATAAGGTATTCTGTTCTTTGGATTATTAGTGATATTTTTTAAATTTGCTAATGTTTATCAGGTTTATAGTTTTGTGGTGGCTTTGTTCACTTAATAATATTGTTTGGGTAGGATGTGCATGCGTAGAAATAATTAGGACGCATATGGTATACCGGTCATCCTGTGTGGATTGCTTTGCTGTGTGATAGTGAGAGACTTGGATCCACATGCCTCTAATTTGCTGTGGTGTCATACCGAATCATGGAGTTTTAAGAACAGTGGTTGGGGAATGGGAAACTACTACTTCTTAAACAAACTGGAACGCTAAGTGCGCGCCGGCACATATAGCACTGTGTAGGTGATAAGAAGGTCCTAAAATGTTATTGAAAGAATTAAGGAATAAACATTTTTAGGGGAAAGATTCAGACCATATAGGATAACTGAAGTAGAATTAGAGTTGGAAAACGAGCACCGGTTAGCTTGAGCAGGAAGCCTAGCACTGGGTAGAGAGATAGAAACTAAGTTAATAATGCTAAATATAGGAGGTTCTATAGGTAATCTAGTTGAATTTTGTGATGTTTAAGCTTAGTAAACAGCTAAAGAAATAAGTGCGATTAGAGGTCGTAGTCAATTGGTATGTAACAGGTCAATGTATATAAATAAATAAAACTGGGCATGTAAAAGCACATTAGGGGTGAAAGGACAGGGGGGATCGAAATATAAGGGCAGAGGCGTTTGGTGGACGATGCTTCTATGGCGCTGTTTATTTCAGTGCTGAGCGAACGCCAAGGCACTGGAAGGGACGGCGGGACGCCCGCGCCAGCAAAATAAATAGTTAAAATAAACGTCGATAGATTAGAATGTACCGGCTTCTGCGGGCAAGGTTTTTCCTTCAGGGTTTTTTTTTACTGAGGGCCGTACCTTCTGATCTCTTTTCCGCGGCTTTGATGCGATGGAGAGACCATTTGGGGTGAATACGCAGAATTCGAAAGCATTAGCAACCCGATGGATGTAGGGACTGTAAAGGCTTAAAGGCTTCG